GGCCTATGCAGAATCGCGGGGTCTATTTCTGATAGCTAGCTGCGACGCAAATGGACATCATGAGCTCTGAGGTTGCATTGATACTAACAGTAAAAGTGAGTCTATTTTTGATTTTATTCTTTTTACTAACCTATCTTAATGCAATAAGGGCAATAAGTCAACATTTTGAAAAAGAGTTAGAAAAGAAGTTATTGATATTACAGTAAATTTGTTCCAGCAGCTATGACTGACGTCGTAAATAGTGTTAGCAGAGATAAAGTTACTTGGGCAATTAACTCTTTCGGTCCTTACAAATCGTCGGGACCAGATATAATCATACCACTACATTAATGTGAGTGCTTCAGTTGGTATTTTAAATATTATACCTTTAGCCTCTAGGCCTCTTCTTTTTCGTTTATAGTGTTTTCTACAAATATTTATTCAAAAAATTGTCAGATTCAGTATATATCGCTGTGTCAATATCTCGAATATAGCACATTTAGACGCGTGGCGCTTTTTGTATATTTATTGTGCGTGGCCGTTATTTCAAATTTTACATTTCCCCAACAGCTGGCAGTGACATTTCTAAAATCTTTCTTGAAAGTCAAGCATTCAATTTTCGGAAGTGTGGTATACCATCTTGCACATCAAGACGACCACCAAACACTTTGTTTACTTTTCTACAAGATCCACATAAAAGGTTTGAATGGGTTGAAGCTTGTGGTATTCAAAATAAATCGTATGTTAAAACACTGAATATATGTAATAAACATTTTGAAAAAAATATGATTAGAGCAGATTGCATTCCCAAGGCGACAACAGATACCATCATATATAAAAGATCATATTGATACAGAAAAGTGTGAAGAAAATATAGATGTAATTCAAACTCATAAAGAACCAAGTTTAATTCATCGATATTACGATAACTGTGAGAGATTTTGTCTCCAACAAAATTTTGATAAAAAAGAGTATGTGAAAGTGCGTACTTTAAAAAACACAATGACTCACGAGATTACAAATTTAAAGAAAAAGGTAATCCAGCCGAGCTTACAAGCCGAGCCATATTGAAAAACAAATATAACAAAGTTTCAGCGAAAGCATTTTCCATAACAAGTATTGTGTTGAATTTAGTAAAATTATTTCTGAATAATTTTTCTTCTGAATTTAAACTATTGCTCAGGTAAAGCATATAAGTTTATCAGCGTTATATCGTTGAAGCCCTGTTCTTCTCTTGGAAATAAAACAAATCCATTAGCGAGAGAAGTTCATTATTTGACAGGAAGGCTTTTATCCATAAAAATTGTTAGCCAAAATTATATCAAAAACAAAAATTGTTGTGGGATAAAGATAAAAATTTAGAATGGAATCTACAGGTACTCACTGATAATAGAACTAAATTATCGTTGGGTACGGTATCAAAGAAAAACTAGTCTATAAAATTAAATGCTGTGATTCCTTATCGGAAATAAAAAAATTAGAGTCTTTAAATTTATTATCACAATTATTTCTTAAAGCACAACAATTGGGAAACTCTACTCACGAACTCGTTAACTCATTGCCACATACTAGGATTAAAAAAGAAAACCATTGAGGAATGTATTGGTTTGTATTGGAATGTATTGGAATGTATTGGTTCCCGGCATCAAGGTGGCATATAGAAGATGAACTAGCCAAAGAAAGAAAAAAATTCGATATTTTTGAGAAAAAAAAATGAAACGTTTTCGTACTGTTTGATGTAATCCTTATTTGCTATCTATTTTTGTATTTATGTCATATTTATTATAAATTATTATTTATTAACTACTTCAAAACATTTGAAATTAAATCTTCTATTTGCTTCATAAAAAATTATATCGCAAATATAAACAATGATCATCTGCACTATTAAAAAGTATTCTAATATTTAAATACAATATTAATCGGAAAACTTTATATACGCAAGTACTTTAAAAAAATTTATTTTTAATTAATTATTTTAAAAAATTATTTAAAATTTTTCGTATAGATGTATGTACGTACATATGTATGTGACTTAGCCCAGCATTAATATATCTTTTGTGAAACATTGCCTTTTATGGTAATGAATATAAACATAATCTCAATTAGAATCAACACTTCTATTTTATTGTAAACATAAGCTCAGTAGAAAAAAGGCTGGAAATGAGACCTGCAAATTGCAAGCCCAGCAATAATGTATCTTTTGTGAAACATTGCCTTTTATGGTAATCTTTAGAAGCGAAGCTGGAAGTGATGCTTAGATCTTAAGGTTTAGACATAAGTTATTATTCTCATCATAATTCATTCAATAAAGAAGAATCAAACGAATCGGTTGTGTTTCACTTTTTATTAAAAGAAAATACAATTTTTAACTTGTATATCAGATAAAGAGAAAATGTTATAACAAAACTTAAAAACTAAAGAATAAATTAAAACAAATTGCAACCAACATTTCATTTTTATACTTTCTTCATACATTTTATGCAGTAATCAAATTAATAAAATGCAGAACATATGTATCTACATACATACATACGCACATATATAAATATTTATCACTTCCTAAATATTATTTGGTTTTTTTCTAAAAAAAACATCAGGAAAAACAAAAATATTTAAAAATTGTCTAAAATTTGATTTTTTTTATTGTTTTTCAATGAATTTACTAATGCAGTTCGCGCCAACAAAAACAATATTTCTTACATATAATTCCTACGTCTTGCATGTGACAGTCGTTAATTTTATTCCTTTTTGATATAATTGTTGGAAACATATAAAAACAGTATAAGCGTTGAGCAAAATAAATATTAAACAACATAAATGTTGTGCAATAAAAACTTTGCTCATTTGAAATGCAATCTCTGCAGGCCGATTCCACTAATCGTTATCGTTAAAACTCCAATCTCTTAGCTAAAATTCTTAAATAAGCGATTCGTTTATTTTAGGAGAATAAGCGATCGTGCGATTCTGCTAACACAATCTCTTCGCTAAATTTATCCGGCGATGTGAATAATGCTGAAATGCATTGAAATGTTAAAATAAAAACAAAAATTGTAAACAAATATCAGCTGTTGGAATTATAATTTAAATTTGAAATTTAGAATCAGATATTGCAGCAAAAAAGTATTTAGCCATTGTGAAATTTAAATTGAAATTAAATTAATATAACATTGGTGTGTGGATTAATTAAATAATAGAGTATTTAATAAGAAAGAAATTTTTTTTCCTGGTGATATGAGAGATCCACGGAATCATTTACGTTTCAAAAGAAAATGTTTGCGAAATTCTACAGACCCCTTCGCTATATCTGATGAGCGTTTGGTGTATCTTTTAAGTACGTTTTTATTTATAATGTTGACTATTAATTTTACCACCACACTACTAGTCTCAACGACTAGCTCGTACAACCACAAGTGTTTTATTGAAATATTTCGTTTTTCGAAATATTTATGTAAGTTTTTCATGGCGGAAATAACTCCGTACATGGTACCGAGAAGTCGATTAGATGGAATTTCGAGGGACATACGCGTACTTGTTGCTTTGCGCTTTTTTGCTTAAGGTAAGTTGATGTTTAACAATTGCAAGAAAGTGAATCCATTGTTTTAATTTATAGGATGTTATGAGTGTTCTGTGGGCCAAAGCTTTTTATTAAATGTTTCTCAGGCTGTTGTAAGTAGATGGTTAGGAAGGTTGCCAATATAATGAATCGTCATTTTGTAGTAAAATACATAAAATGGCCTAGAACACTTCAGGAATTATGCGCTTTAAAAGTAAAGTGAATCTTCGAAATCTTGTGTTAAAACACAATGTAGTTAATTAACTACATTTCGGTAATAATGGCTAGAGAGCCCCACTATTCGTGAAGACTTCGCGCACCATGATCCGACACAAATCTGTCATGAGCGAAATCTATATGCTCCATATGTTCCATATGCTGGACCAGCGCTTGTTTCTGCTCCTTGCTAATGCGTTTTGTCTTTAAGTCCACGAATTCCACCATAAATATCTGAAAATTAAATAAATAAAATATATTAAATAATATATGTGTAAATATGTATATAATTATTTATTTTGTTCACTGTGTCATTTGCCATTTATTTATTTTTGGTACAATTTCAAAAATTAAAAATGGAATATGAAAAATAAAATACATTGGTTTACATTTGCAGAATACCAAACACACTCCCTATATTACTGCCACAAAATTTTTGTAATATTGATAATTATTTTTTTTACATTTTAACTTTAAATGCAAGTTTATTTCTATCACAATAAATTAATTAATTAATTAATATGAATATTATACTAAATACGTACAAAATAATTACTCAATTTGTTTAAAATATAATATTTTCACTTTTAACGGCAGTAAAAACCTAACCGCCAAAAACAAACAAATTAGGTTTTTAAAATTAAAACGATTTTTATTTGCGATTGCCAATTTAGCAGAATACGAAATTTGGAAATCAGCTGTTTTTGAAAGTTGAGAAAATTAGCGATTAGAAATTAAACGTATCGAGTTAGCAGAATCGCAAAAGTCGGTAAAATGTAATTAAAGAATTTTATGGATGGAGTTTTAGCGATAGTGATTAGTGGAAACGGCCTGCTGTACTTTCATACCAGAGTGGTAATTGCAATTACATGCAACATATTCTTAATTCCTAACTTACATGCATATTCCTTTAAAAATTAATTTAATAATACCAACAAGAAGTTTCATATATACACACATACAGTGCTTTAAGCTGCAAAATGTCATAAAACATATATAAAGTTATTAAATATCTTTACATCAAGACTTATTATTCATTACATTTTCATACATATAATTATAAAGATTAGGGGACTAGCAAGAGTTTTAAATAAAAATTTATTAACATATTGTTTTGTCTAGTAAAGCAATCACAGAACCAACAAAAAATTTAAAAGAGACCAAACATCTAATTATATTTATTATTTTTCCATCTGGCAATCTGGCGATGTCAAGTCAAATTTTCGTTAAATTCGCAAACCAACTGTCGACAGTTTGTTTGTCACAGGACAACCAATAAACAGTTGTAGAAGTACATGCTGATTGCTGCGCGGTTAGTAACAAAAATAGCTTATAAGTGAGCGGACGGTAATGGTTTTGGTTCTGAGAAAATTGCGTAAATTAAAACAAACTTTATTTTGTTTGGTAATATTACATTGATTTTGTGTACCAGAGCCGTGCGCGGTATGCTAATTGTTAGTGGCAGTGGTTTACGTTTAAATAAACCAAGATCCTTATATACATATACATGTGTAGATTTTACCCAGCGGCCATAAATTATTTTAACGAAACCCATTTTATAATTTAGAGCATGGTAAGAAACAGAAACAAAAACGAATTTTTTTGTTGAAATTTACTGGAATATAACTTAAAATTAGTAGAAACCGTTTAAAATCTCAGAGTATGAGTTGGTGTACATATATTAAAACGAACTTTAGTATAGATTTATTTGTTAGAATTAAAACAATTTAAGAATATAAAATGGTTTAATATAATTTCGAATGCAATTGCTTTTATTTAGTGTATGTATGGAAACATACATATTTTAATATACATGGATCGCACCAATTCGATAATGGAAAACACGGCTGCAACAGTCATTTAGTTTTACTTATTATTAATCATTTAAGTTTTTACTATATTCAAATTAATATAAATAATGTGAGATTATTGATATTAATATAATAATATTATTATTAATCTAATATCATCATATAAATATAACAATATTTATATAATAAAGTTAATAGTAATAATAATATTAATTTTTATGATGCTTAAACTAGCTAAGAATTTTCTTTTGTTTTGTATGTGTTGCGATACAAAAACATTTTTATATCAATTTGAAATTATCACAATATTAATGAAATATATTTTTAAGAATATAAATCGTTTAAAGAAATATCGGTTCGCATAGAAAATACCTGTAAAAGCATTTCGTTAGTGGTCAAGAAAGATACAACACAATATCCTTGGCACTATTAAGGATCAAACTTATGAGTACGCGATTAACCAAAACTTAACTTAACAAAAACGGAATAGAACCGTATATATCGGTTTCTTGCACTTTTTGCAGTTATTAATGTTGCTAGTATTTAACTTATGGTGAACTGTAACGAAAAAATACATAAACTAAATAAATCATTTATTATATATTCTTAAGTGTACTACACATAACAGATCTTTTGTATTTACTTCCATAATAACTTATTTCTTCTCGAATCCAAAACAGGTAAACAGATATACTTATTAAAAAATAGATGATTTTGTGCCACATTACTTTTAAAAAATTTAAAAATATAAAATTTAGGGCCATTTTTTAAGTAATTTAACAGATTTTTCGTTCTGCACAATTATCAGTCCAGTTAACTATTGAAGTATTTCAGAAAACAAATTCCTGGAGACCAAAGTTAAGTAGTAATAGAGGGAGCTTCATTGTTTCTTACTTTCCTAAGTTTCCACAATGATGCTGGGAAGCAATGCACAACATAGATTATTGAATATATATTGAATTTTTTCGTTATTTTATATTTCGCATATAATATATTAAAAGTAAGATATATATTCCTAATAAGTAAGAGGTTTAAGTTTAAATGTAGCTGGATGAACTATTAAAATTATAACAAACATATTTTGTGTCAATAGACGACATTGACGACCTAAGCTGTGGTTGTATTTTAGACTATTTTTTATTTGCAAGAGAGTCTAATAAATCTGTTTAAATTTCATCGAAATCAAGTTAATTTCTTTTCTTCTAATTATATTTCATTTTTAATTATAGTTGCAACTAAAAAATGTGTGATACATAAGATTGATATGATATTTATGGGCCAAATGTTGCTAGAAATTATATGTGTTATTTCAACTGGAATTGGGTATTGCCTTTATAAAGCGCATGGATATACAGGAGCTAAAAAGTAAGGACTAAGGTAAGCGGAATACATCCAAATAATATTCTTTATTATGATCTTGTTCTTATAACTCTTACTTTTAATTTAGATTAATACTAGAAGAAACTATTGATTATGATTGAAGCGATTTTGAAATACTGTTGATTGTTTATGAACAAAGGTGCATTCACATTAATATAGGTGCGTAATAGTTTTGTATTGTTAACCTTAGAAACTTAAATTATTAAAAAATAATTTAGTGACAGCCTAACTAAAATTTGATTAACAAATGTTTTGTTATTTCAGAATCAGTGGCAATCAATATACAAATACAAATAAACACTAGTGTGCAAATTATTAATATTATGGATGGAATTTAACACCAATTGATGAATAAAAAGGTAAAGAATTAATGAATATATAACATATTTATATATTATATTATATATTATTATATATTATTATTATATATTATTCCGAATTGAGGAAAAAAACATATCTTTTGTTTATATATTGGCCTCATTTCTGCAAGACTAACTAGCTGATTAGGTCTTTCGTAATACCTATGTGTATGTGGTCAAAATTCGAAGTCATGACTTATGTAGCCCTTATTAAATATATTTAGGTATTAATATTTTTTTTTTATTTTATGTAAATTAAAAAAGAATTAAGTGAAAGCGGTGCGAACAAAATTATATTTAAAAACAATTATGCATTAATAAACATAAACTTGTTAACAACTAAAAACTTTAGGAAATCAATATGCTTTGTACTTACACTTTCTTTATATATATTCAATTTAAAAATCTGTATTTTTCGAATATATTTTTTCAATAATTTAAATTTAATAATTAATATTAATTTAATAATTTTAAATTTGTGAATATTTTAAATTTTGTTCCTATTTTTTCCTACACACAATTTTAAAGGATGATTGGAATTTACGGTACAGTTTCAAATGAAATTTTTCAACAGACCGTTTATTGCGTATCGCATTAGTAACATTAATTTCTGCATTCTATTAGATGATTAGAAACTTGATATCTAGTCTGATGGATCAAGAGAGTAGGGTTCCTTCACATACACATTAAAGACGTGTTTTTGTCGCACGTCGAAACGTCAAAATGTAGCTATTATAAAGTAATATAATATAATGACTTAATTAAATTCATTTTTCTTTTTCTGATTAAAAATACCACCTTAACATAATTGAAAAATATAAGTATATTGAAAAAGACTCTCATAATGATAATTTTATTTCCTTTCAGCTATGTTTGATGCGAATAAGCAAAAAAAAATCTAAAAAAAATGTATTAAATCAGCCTTGGCTGTTAACCGGATGGAAAATTTTAGGTTTAAACGAGCAAAAGCTTTTACATATAAAGAATTGCTTTCAATGGGCTGTGCGTCGTTACTCGGATTAATTTCTCTACGTTAATCGTATATGGTATTATCTGATATAAAAAATGTGAGCGCAAATTTGTTTAAATTTGACTGAACTAAAATATATTTCCGAAGAATTTATTGCGCACGTATTTAGTCGAAGACTACGAGTTTAATTTTGATACTTAATATCAGTTGTAAGTCTCTTTGCAAATAATTGATTTAATTATTTCAATTCAATTTTAATAAGTTTTAATAATTAATTTATAATGATTAGATTATATTTATAAAATATTTTAGCATTTTAAACTATTTTATATTTTGTTATGTAGAGTGAAAACATAAAGAACCCTTGTTTTTGTTGCTAATTATCAAGAATCGACAAGCCATAATTTACTCCTTAAAAACAATCGAATTGCACGCAATGAACGCTTGTTGTCTGGTCGCTTGTAGTTCTAAGCGCCTGTTATCAGCGCTGGCAAAAGTTCAAAAATAAAAATACGTGATTTTATCTGTGCCGACAGTTCCATATATGAATTCTTACTAATGTGCAACTGCCGGCATATATTAACTTTACCTGAATTTTTAGGTTAACTTGTGTTCGATTTTTATACTTAGCTATATTGTAAAATATTTTTATAGCTCTGTCTTTGACAAACTTCAGTTCATTTAGCAATTATTTTCTTTAATGCTTTATTCTGGAATGTTTGGAGTCTGTTCATATTGCTGCCCTGATTTGTTTATATATTACAATATAATTATTTATGTGGATATTCCTTGAAAATGTTAATGGACTATGGGATTGAAGTTCTAAGCCCCATTCCAAACTTTTCTGATTTATATGAGAAATCCACTTAAAGTTTTTATCAAATTGTAATCCTAAATATTCTTTCTCTTTTCTCTTAATTCGTTGTCTAACATTAGGTACTGCATAACCATTTGCCTGGAAATTGTTTTCCTTTTTAGGTTTTTTTGGACTGCGTGTTAGATTTTTTTTCTAATGAATTCGTTTGAGTATTGCGTTTTGATATTTCCTCATTTTGTTTTCTGAGTTCGCCTATTAGCTTGAGCATTTCCCTATTTTCTTGTTCCAAACTCATTACAGTTACCAGAGTATCATAGTCTACTGCTTGCTCTTTGCTGACACATTTCCCTTCTATATCACTCATGTTGTTGTTTTCGTTATCACTTATAGCGTAGTTTTCGTTATCGCTCATTTTATTAATTAAAAAATTTTATTTATTATTTACTTATATATATTTTTTTCACTAAGTGCTCTTAAATTAAGTTTATATCTCTTTTACTAAGAATTCTTGAGTCTCTGCCTCAATTCTTATCAACGATTTACGCACTTTTTCCTGCTTGCCTTTGGCAATTTTCGAAGTTATTTCCGTGGATTATCTTCTTATTGTTCTTTTCTTGTTGAAAAAACCTTCTTTTTCAGGTTTTTTTTGTTAAAACCTTCTTCCTTATACATCTTCTCTCTTTTCCAGGTAGCACTACACTTTCACTGTAGTTATGATATACGTTTTTTCTTCAAAATTAAAAAAAAAGTTCTTGTTAAAAAATTATTTTACAATTTAAAATTCTTGACTTATTTTATATCAGAATGACTATCCAGTTAAATCAGCTATCTATAGTTATTTAATTTATTAATTTTTAAAATATTTACATTTAAATTCAAGTCGTTAATATAGTCTGTAAGCTCTTGAACTTCGTACGAAGGGAACAGTTTATTTATAAATCAAGTGTAAGGTTTCTCTCTTACAGATGTGAACGTACACAAATTAAATTTTTTACTTATAAGCAGTCTTTAATCGTACCGGTATTGATATGAATCACGTTTTTATTGACTATATTAACGTTAAATTTTTTATGTCCTAAAAATTGGTATAATATATTAATATTAATAATCTCTCTTTAAGGAGCTTTGTATATAATAAATACCATATAGTATGAGTATTTTTACGATTACCCATGACAGCTGGTTTTAACGCCTTGGGTGCGACATTCTGCTTCCCAGTAGCCCGTACTGCATTTTTCTGCTAGCCATTAGATAATTAAACCATTTTAAGAGTAGAAAATTGCTGCTCAATGTAGGTGGGATGACTGTCGTTGTCACCACAGTTGGTCAAATTTTCGCTATGGGAATTACCACAATCGCTTATCGCGCATCAATTATGCAGTCTGTTGTTATCAGTGGCATGGCTGTTGACTACGTAGTTGTTGGATGGAATACCATACTCACCCACCATCGTGTCTTTGGTGCTAGCCATTTGGTCGGTGGCTACTGGTCTGAGTTGCCACCTGGATGAGCATTATGATTGCTGATAGCGTTTGCTTCTTTATACTTAAGCATGGCATGTAGAATCGCCATGTAGTTGCTGATTTCTGATTGCAACTGCTCGATCATTTTTTGCATTTAGTGAAATTTGGTTTCGTAGCCATCTTTAGTATCAGTGTTTGCTAAGTCGCTCATCTGCTTCTTCCTCCTCTTCTTATTTCTTACAACTTCTATCATTTTGCCAGAGGCCACTTTATTCTCATTTCTTGTTCCAGATGCAGCAGTATAATGCACTTTCAACACCTCATCTTCTATAGACAGTTATAGACTGCTGTGCATGTAGTGGTAAATTAGATTGTGCAATCACTATTGCACTGGATATATTTTAGTTTTGCATTCTATTGTATAATGATGTCATTTTTTTTCCTCATCCATAAAATACAAAAAGTTATTCACTCGTATCATCAACATATGCGACTAAAACGCTCAGATCAGTACCTGCTGGATGTACTTTAATATTATCAAAACATAGCTCTGATAAATTGCTTCAACGACTGGTTGCGCTCCTCTGCCGAGACAGAGTAGCCTCGATGGTGACACAGTTGAAGTGTCGCAATGCGTAGCCGCCACAGCTTCGATATTACATCATCATTGTCCTCCTCCAAAACGACGTTAAATTCTGCTCACGTACCAGAAATTATTGTTACCGCTTGTAGTTGTGAAATAATTAAATTCAACAAATAAAATTATGTTAATTATAACCACTAGAAATTGAATTTTATCCTATGTCCACTAGTATTTTTGTATACAGCGGTGATTTATGTTAGTACTTACTTTTTAGCTTTTACTTTATTAGAATTCATAGGTTAAAATGTTCTTCGCTATTCGATACACGCTTAATAGAATTTGCGCGCAGACTTTTGCTTTATACAATATTAATAATATTGAAATTCAAAATTATGATTATGAAAATGTAAAATTTATTAGCATTACACTTGTATAATTTCTAAAATAGATTCTTTACTATTAAAGTAATTTTTAGAATTTATAAAATTTTTATAAATTTGTTTTTCTAAAAACACAAAAAATTATATTCCGCACTCAATAATAAACGAATGCTTCAAATGACGCTTCGAACGCTCAACTCGAATCATCATCGAATTCGTATTGTTAGTTTAGTTTGTTAGAATTATAATTTTGGTTTATTGATGATATTTCATATTTACAAGGTTTTCTTAAAGCTAGAAATTACAATAATAAGTATTATATACAGCAGGTTTTTAACAAGCAATTGTGTATTTTCCTAAGAGTATCTTACGGTATGACAATAGACTTATTATAAAATAATAGATAAATTTGCAAATTATATTAACAACAGAAGTTTCTAAAAAAAAGATCAAAAAAAGGAAATTAAACTAACTAACTACTACCTTAGTGCTAGCTTAACACTATCCTATACTAGCTTAAACTACTATATACAATATATACAACAGAGTTTTACAATTTATGTACAGAGTTATTCAAATTTTTATGTGATTATGTTATAATACAAATTGCGCTGTAGAGTACACTGGACCGGCTAGATCGTTTTTGATATATCTTCTGTGATAGTATATTTTCATAAAGCAAGTTGTTGGCGTTAAGGTTGCCCAGATGCAACGGCGATAGATACCTATCTGATGTCGGGTGCCTTTGAAAGGTAATTATGGAGAATTATGGATTCCTGTGGCACTCCTTCACCGATTGTTTTTAATGAAGAGCTATTGTCTAAGTGCCTGACATGCAATTTCTTATTGGTAAAATAGTCAACAATTACAGAGCACATATGTCTATCAATTCCCAATTTAACCTATTTGTATGCAATACCCTCTATCAATGCAGTGTCAAATGCTTCTTCAAAGTCTAGGGACACTGCTATGGTGAACCATTTCCTGTCCAGTTTGCTTGTGATCGAATCGGCTGGCAAGGAAAGAGCATGCGAAGTAGAGAGCTATCGCTTAAAACCAAAGTGAAAGTCTTTGAGGACATTATTTATGAACAATTTAACATTTAGGTCCTCAAATAGTAACCTTTCATATAGTTTGCTGATGTTGGATAATAGAGATATTGGCATATAGCTGCTTATGTGCGCGGGGTCCTTTAGTTAGCAGTGGTACAACCCTGGCTACTTTCTAGGAATCTGGAAAGTAGTCCAGGTTGTACATCTGATTAAATAGATCGGCAAGGCCCTTTCACAGTTGCTTACTGATCTTCTTCAGTATAAAGTTGGTAATGTTGTCGGGACCATGGTTCTTTTTATTGTTTAGGGATTTGATTTTTGCCCCTACATCTTTTGCAGTAATATAGGAGAGTGTCCTACGAGCAACAGGGTCTCTGACAAACCTCCCATCTGCCGGTATGTCAATATTAAATTGGGTAAGAATTGCAGAGTTTCTAAATGAGTTCACTTCTTTTGCCTGTGCACCAAACCTCCTAGCTCCTTATTGTCATAGTGTGCCTGCTCAAAGCAGTCAGCTAACGCATTCATCTTATCTGCATTGCGCGTGAGTGTATTGGAATATCTATAAATTCATTTTCAGACTTTTGAAACTATTATTCCAGCGCGTTTTGATCCAGCTCGATCCACCTGATGTGGTTGGTGATGATTATATCGAAATTACGTAAGATAGCTTTCAAAGTGTTTCTCCTAGCTGGATCAATACACCTCCTTATAGTTCTCCTGAGTCTCCTTTTCTCCTCAACAAATTTTATGACATACTGCGATAGGTTTAGTAGACCTCTGTTTCTGAAAACAGCATTAGCGAATACGAGGTTAATTCCATTAATGCAATTGTCAACTTCATTGCAAGATACTACTCTGTCTGCTGGTGGAATGAAGGGTGTAATATGTCCACTCCTTCGGGTGGGCAAAGCGATAGCAGT